AGGAGAGCCCTCCAGCTTGCTGTGGGAAGCAGTGGTGGCAGGGCTCTGAGGGGCAAGCCTCATCAGCCCACAGGCGGCTCTGGAGCCGAGGTGCCTCAGGACTGTCCTGTGCTGGGCGAAATGGCTGCTGGTCCCTGGAAGGCTGACGGCTGGCCTCTGCCTCCGGGACTCTGCAGCTGGCCAGAAGCTTGCATTGAAGAGGAGCTGCTCACAGTTCGTGCCACAATCGCTACATCTGCCAACTGTGCCCAGTTTTCTGTGAGACATGGCAGCTCTCACAGCTGGGTAACGGGCCGTTTGAAAGTCTTCCCATGCTTGGCACCTTGCTGGCCAGATCCTGGCAGGAACAATAGCAAATTATGATGGACGGAGTGCCCACAGCAACCACACTGCTCTAGCCCTTTGCCCTTACCTGCATTCTCTCATTTCACCTCAAGAGATAGGCACATGTAAGAGCTCATCTTGTATACATGAGGGCAGCAGGGTCAGAGACTGGAGTACCCCGCTTGGGTCCATGGAGTGGAGTGGGAGAGGTAGGGTCTGGCATCCGAGTCTGACCCTCTCTCTTCATGCCTCCCACCGCCATGGCCCCAGGTTGGCAGAAACACTTGGGTGGTGAACACGTGACCTGTCCTGTAAGCATGGGTCGATCAAAGGGCCTGCTAGGAGCCCTGAGCCCTAAGGATGACTCATGGACTCTCCGACCCACCATTGGTCATGCAAAGGTCTATGACTAGTGTCCTAACAGTACCAAAGGCCTCAGAGTTGGTGCATAAAACAGAAGACACCCTCAGTCTTACCTGTGCATCTGTCTGGTTTCAAAGCAGAAATCTATGCAGTGAGTGCGATGGGATGGACAACTGAGTCTGGGAGCCGGAAGTGTGTTTTGCTTGAGCTGATGCCCTATGGGGTCTGTGCCCCACTTCCCTGTAAATGCCATCTGTGATGTGAACTCTGTCTCTCCCTCCTTGCTTCCTGATGGCCGGTTCTCTGGCAAAGTAATCACCTGCCATGCCACACCAGGCACCGCAGGACCTTGTTTCTCTGCACAGTGGCCCAGGGAGGCAGGCTCTGCCATCCCCATTTTCCAGAAGAGGATGAGTTCTAGGTGCATCAAGTGATTTGTTTGAATCACACAATTGTTGTGAGGCAGGACTGAATCTGTACAACCCAGGCAGGAGGGGCCAGGGTTATAGAAGCACAGAAGGACACAGTCTCATTGGTTGCACCAGAAGGAGTGGAAAGAGCCAGAGAGGTCTGGGGCTGGTTGTTCCAAACAACATGGCAAAAGAACCTCCGGAGCCAGACTCTCAAGAGGAGGATTTACAGTTGAAAAGAGTCCATTTTAGGTGAGCTGGCTTGGTGAATACCACAGGGAGTCTTGGCATTGTTTTGAAAGGCCGGAATGACATTGAGCTAAGGACTCAGGAGACCTGCTCTCTCCAGTCTGGGTTTCCAGGTTCCTTGGTGAGCGATGGAGGAGTGGTGGCATGATCACGGATCCAAGCATCAACATTCAGTAGTCATGCGGGGAGTCTGTCAAGCAGATTCCTGGGCACCAGCCCAGGGCTCCTGACACAGGAGGTCTAGGGTGGGGTGGGCTCTTTCTAAGACCTCCCGCGATACTGCAGGCTCTGCTGAATGCACTATTAGGAGCACTTGTGCGATGCTCCCTCCTACCCTGGCCTCCCCGCTTTCTGAGGCTCTACAGCCAGCTTCCCAAGCAGGAATGCTCTCCCTGAAAACAGCCCCTGCTCACTCTGTGACAGAGAAGGGCTCCTTTGTGCTCCAGAAGCCATACCACTGAGTATGTGTGTGAAAATTAAAAGATGACAAGCCTAGATACCCCAATTTAAAAGCTAATAAGTGCTACTGCCGGGATTGGATCTTAAAATCTGGCCAAGACTCAAAAGGATGAAACCCCATTGCAATGGGGTGGCTCTGAATGGCTGTAGTTCTCCAGAGAGGTACAATAAGGTATTTGTTTGGCAGACCTTGACCCACATCTAACCCCAAACTCCTGGGACAGGAAAATTGCTGGGATGAAAGAGAGATGCTCTGCCTGGGGTCATCTGGGATGCAATGGATCGATTATCCTCCCAGGGCTCCAAATTACCAAGATGTGGATGGACCAAGTTCAGTGAACCATCTGGAGTCTTAAACTTCTCAGGATCAGTGGCACTCAGAAGCAAGAACTCTTCAAAAGAACAGAATAGAGCTTGGGGTGATGCTGATTTGAATACCAAAAGAGCTGTGTTTTGTTTTGTATCCCAAGCTCCTCCTTAGAATAGGATGGGATGGGGGTGAGTCTGGTGAGATGCGCTGCTGCTTGTATTATTTCTGAAATAGATTCATATTCGTTGAAATGACAATTGTTTTATAGTCATAATTGATTCCTGTTTTCATAATTTCAAAGTAAGAGAAAAATAGGTAGAAGAAAAGAGCCAAACTCAGCAGCGGCAATGACTCTGAAAGCACCGCAGACAGACAATAGCATTTCTATTGCACTGGGGGGGTGTTCAAAGGAGAGTGCCTTGCCTGGTGCAGATTCAGGGCAAGGGATGGAGACATTTTCACAAGAAAAAAAAGCATTTGGGATCTTGACCCCATCAGCCCTGGGTAGGAGGAAAACTCAGAGGAGGGCTAAAGGAGGAGGGGTGTGCTCTAAGAGCTGCACCATGCCCAAGAGAGTTGGGAGTCGGAACACAGCTTCATCTAAATGGACGAAGGAAATACAGAGTGGATGTTAATGGAGATTTCAATCTAAGATGAAATACAAGTGCAAGGAGCATTTCAATATAATATATATTTAATTGAAATGAACTATATATCTTAAATCAAAGATGATGTTCGCAAGTCCACGCAGAGTGAGAAGTGTTCTCTGACCTTTATTTTCTCCCTCTTTAAAGCTTATCTGGGGGACGAACTGTTAGCTCAAATATTTGCTGAATGAATGAATGAACGGGATTGAAGTTGGCAGAGAAGAGTTTCAAAATGTGCTTTTGATATTGCAATTAATTTCCTATGCCTTCTAGGTTTTCTACAGTGAAAAGATATTACTTTGATCTTTGGAATGGGATTGGAGACTGGCTAAGGGAGCTGGCGAGGCGCCTCCTTGGGATACAGCTTCCTGAGGAGCGGTGAGGTCCTGGACATGGTTCCCTTCTGACCCGCACGGACTCGAGGCTGGGCTCTGTGTCAGAGGCTGTGGTGCGCCTGCCACTCCAGGGGAGAGCTTAGGGTGCCTCTCTTCCGAGCTCACAGCCAGACTCTGAGGACCCCCCCAGCACCCGTACCTCCGGAACAAGCGGGGGCAGGGTGGGGGAGTGCTGAAGCAGCTGGCATGGCCGCGTTGGGGGCTGGCGTGCGGAGGAAAAGCACAAACCTGACCACCCCACCCCGCCCTCTCACCAGCCTCCCTAACTGTGCTGCCTGATCAGAGAGGAAAAATCACCCAAGGATTTCAATCGGTGAGGTGGAGTCTGGGTGGACGGGAACTTCCCCGGAGGCTCACTGCGCTGGGGAATGTGAAGAGGTGGGACGGAGGGACCCCGCAATGGGTCTGGCACAGGGACGACCAAGTATCAGGTCCTGGCCAGCTGTGCCTTTCAAGTTCAGGAATTGCCTGGGGCAGACCTGCGAGGGATATTCCAGAGTCTGTTCCTAGAGACCCCTTCCCATCCCTTCTCTTCCTTCTCCTTCCTTCCTTCTTATTCCCTCCTTCCCTTGCTCCTCCCTCCCTCCCCATCTCTCCCTCCTTCCTTTCTTTCTGTCTTTTTGGGGAGATTTGGAGTTGGCTCTAAGAATCTACATTTTTCACAAGTGTTCTTTTTGATTCTAATGCACAGGGTCAAGGAATGCAGTTTGGGTCCTGTATGAACCAGCCTGGGCCAAATACCACAGGCTGAGTGGAGAAGCTATCTCTCTAGTCCTCTTTTTAGAAGGCCACCCGTCCCATTAGGGCCCACTCTCCTCCGCTCATTTAACCCTATCTTGTGAGAGTCCTGTATCCAAATGCAGTTGCACTGGGAGTTAGGATCTCGACCTGTGGACCCAGGGAGACACAATTTAGTTGGTGGCCTGTAGCACTGTGGGACAGACAGTGGGGCTTGCACACCTGGCTGGGGGAGCAGAGACATTCAGAGAGGGGCCGAGACCCTGGTGAAGGCTCTTGTGCAAGGAGATGACTAGATGTCAGTGCCGCCTCTCTTTTTAGATCATCTGAAAACCTGTGTGTAGCAAGAAGGGACTTGTTTATGCTACAGTGCTCTGGTGCAAGTAATACCACTTTCGTTTTCTAGACCTAAACCGAGCATCTTTCGGAGCTCCATCACTCCAGGAAGGAGAACTCATCTGAGTCAAATCTGCGGTCCTCCTCTCCTGACTCCTCTGTGACAAGTGACCTGTCCAGGTTGGGTGGCTTGGCACCCACAGCGGTCCTGTGGGCCTTGTCATCGTCTCAGCCTGCATGGCCTCTGGAGGGTGAGGCTCCTGCTTGGTAATATGACTAGGGAGACATCTTTCTCCAGGGCCCCCCTTTATATCCTGAGGCTACTGTGCTCTAATTCTGCCGTCTCCCCTGAAAACTCCCTACTACTTCAAGCCCAAAATTTCTCCCCAGCCAAACTTCATAGAGCACATTGTTATGGTTTAGGTCTAAAAATGTCCCTTCAGGGAGGGTGGGGGTATGGGGGAAGAACTAAGAACCAAGACATATCATGTGAAGGTACAAGATCCCAGTGATAAATGTAACTGTATGCTTTGTTTTAAAATGTACCAATAAACTTAGTGGGGAAAAAATAAATAAAATGTCCCTTCGAAGTCACAGGTGTGTGGCAGGTGATTGATCCATTCTTTGATAAGTTCAGGAGCTAAATGTGCTCTTAGGAGGCGGCACCTGGTGAAGTCCAGGTGTGACCTGGGAGGTATATTCTTGCCCCCACCTCCTCTCTTCTTTTTCTGCTTCCTGCTTGTCACACGTAAGCAGCTGTCCTCCACCAGGCCCTTCCACCGTGCTGTTTCTGTCTTTTCCACCCTGGAAAATCACCCAAATAAACCTCTTCTTCAAGGCTTAGGCGTTGAGTACTTTGCCCCCTATGCACTTTGTCGTTTGTAGTCCCAGGGAAGCCACCATACTATGTGGGGCCTGCACCACTCTGGCTGTCCTGCTCTGGAAGGGCCGCACAGTCTGTGCCCAGCTGCAGAAGCCCATGATGCTGTCCCACCTTAGGGCCTGGCAAGGAAGAGGTGGGAGGCGGGCGACACTGAGGAGTGAGGTCCACTGCCCTCAGAGGCTGGCTCCTACCTCCACCAGACGGTGCACGGTGCTCAGGGCCCCAGCGCTCAGAGTGCAGCACCTGGCACTGCTCAGCTAGGGAGTTGGGAAGGCCAGCAGGCGCGTTCTTCACTGTCTGGAAAGTAACAAGGCCCAGAGGGACCCCGAGTGTCTCCCCAAGAGTGGGGCGATCACAGAACATCACTGCTAGGGGAGGACGTAGAGCTCCTCTCATTGTCCTCGTCTCACAGGTGAGGAAGCAGAGGCTCAGAGATGGGGAGGGACTTGCCAAGGTCACACAGCAAGTCAGTGCTGAACTAAAGATTGCTCCTGGTCTGTTCCTGTTCCTCTCTTTCTGTCAAGTGTGGGCCAGCTTCCCCGCTCTGACTGTTTGGGTCATTTATGAGGTTTTGCTAACCAAGTTTAATTTCATTTCATTTCAATCACAGAAAAACTTGCATTACGTCTAAAAGCCCTAGGGTGGCGCACACACCCCTCCCCACCGTGTCAGCCCCTGGGCCCTTCCAGGGCAGGGGGAAAAACAGTGAGCTCAGCACCCTAGCACTCAGCTGGGGAAGCAGCGTCGCAGTAGTTGGAGCATCACTTCTCCTCAAAGGGCGTGCACCACTGTGTTGGGCCCTCACCGCCAACTGGGAACAGGGTGTGTGCCCACAGTGGCGATACTGCCACAGCAGGGGCTGGGAGGAGGGCCAGGTGTCGATTCTGCAGCGTTGTACCATGCTCTAGCGAGGGGCCGCGGCCAGCAGGAAAGAGGGAGGTGCACCATGCAATTTCCTATGTTGCAGTCACACACCCAGACTCTACCACGCTGAGGCCCAGGTAGAGGGGACCCAGCTTCCTTAGAGCATGGTGACCTGCAGACAGCTGTCCTGGCCCATGGAGTAAGGGTGGGGCCCCAAGGGAGGAAGATCAAGGGAGAGGAGCACGAATGCTACCAGAGGTGCAGACATACATTGGCTGGTGTTAATTATGTGCAAAGAGCCCAGTACAGACGATCATTCCTGAGCCAAGTGTGGTGGGTGGCGGGGCCGGAAATCAGAAGGGGCTCCAGTGTGACACGTGGGACCTGTGACAACAGGGTACGCTCTTGGACCCATGTGGAGCACAGAAGAGGGAGTAGCAGGGTGGATCTCTGTGCTTCTGAGATAGGGTCCGAAGGGTGCCCTGTGCCTGCCGGAACCCACCCATCAGCTACTCTGGTTAGCTGGAGCCACGCTGGAGGGTGAGAGCCATGTGTCTGTGTCCTGTTAGCATAGCCCTGAAGTGAGGGTCAAAGGAAGCAGAGCGAAGGATGCTGTCAATGCAGCCCTCTCCCCACATTCCTGGATGGGCTGGGGGCAGGAAAGGCAGCCTCCAGGGGCAGAAGTTGGCTCTCAGAAAAGAGCTGGGAAGATGGTGCTGTCCGGCAGGTCAGTCTTGGGCTGAGCCCAGATAGGCCACAGACAGACAGACTGGGGCAGGCAGGCAGCTGAGCCCTCCCTGCCTGGCAGAGCCCTGACTTATTTTTTTGGATAAGTGGTTGTTTATCATAACTATTCCTGGGGCTCCTCCTCCTCCCACAACTGCAGGTTCAGCCCCAGGAGGGATAACCTGCTCTTTTTGAGCGGAGGTGGGTAGACAGTTACAGAAGAGACCTGAGACAGGAGGCAGGTGTACTCCCCAAGAGAGGGTGGCAAGGACTGGGGCCCCAGTGACAGGCGCACACCCTGGCCTCCACCTGCCAGCCCTCCTTGAGCTCCTGCAGCAGCCCAGGAGACAGTGGCTTTAGCGTTCCTGTCTTGGTGCTGAGGATACCTGCAAGTTGCAGACTTTCCCAGAGAAAGGCCAGAGGGGATGCTGAGGCAGCTTGTTCCCCAAAGATGCCTGTGCCATTGAGCGCTCAGGTAACCCATTTAGATCTCACCCTGGCCCCGAGGGGACCCTAGGGACCCTGCTAGGATGTCACCCAGAGGCTTGCACGGCTGGGTCCCAGGTCACAGTCTCACCTGCTGGCTGCATCTGAATGACTTCCTGTCAGTTCTACCAGGAACCAGAGCAGTGCTCCTTGGAGGAACAGATTGCTCTTTTGACACCTTTGTGCCCCCATCCACACCCTTCAAAATTTAACAGAAATACATACAGTACAATAAACATTTCAGGAATGCTGAAAAGATCCTGGGTCATTCACGCCCACATCAGAGCCCTAGAAGCTCCTCCCGAAGGGTGGTGCCTGGACCTCAGAGGCCAGGGGACAGGAGGTGGGTGAGTACACTAGAGCCTACTGCAGCCTGGTGGGCATCCGGCAAGCTCTTTCCACTCAGCCTCCCACTGTCCTGTGAGCCTCGCTCTGCATAGTGCACTCTCCAGTGTCAGCAACTCCTCAGAGTCTCAGCCGTCAAGCCCCACCCTGGAGTTGGCGTTTTGTAGGCTCACTGGTGAAGCACCTGAGGTTTGGAAACCCTGCACTCCTCTCTTTCCTCCAAAGTGAGAGAAATAGAAGCAACTCAGGTAATTGGCCCCAGGCTCTCAGCCCGCAACATGGGTGATGGAGGAGACAGGTCCAGTGGAGAAGATGAGCTCCCTTTGAAAGCTCAGCAACTGGCAAAGAGCAGGGTCAGGAGCAGAGTGTGTGCTGAGACTCACGGGACCTGGGTCCAGCACTTCTGTGCTGCTGGGTGGCACTGGGGACAGAAGCAGGAGCTACAGGCAGGACTCAGGATGGCCCTGGCCACGCCACTGAGACAAGGCCACCTGCTTCTTAGCAGCAGAAGGAAGTGGAGGCCACCTCGCAAATTCCTTGCCGTGGAGCACTTGGTTGTTAAAAAGAACCCTTTAAAACGGCTTGATATTTTGGACTAAATACAGCTACACTCCCACTCCAACTGGGTTTATAATGGAATCTAATTTTATAAAGAAGCCAATTAATGGCTTTGTAAATATAAAAGAAAGGATCCCCGGTTTTACTTGACCAAAAGGCCCCATATGTTAGTCTTGCAAAAATGTCAAATTTTGCTCTAAAGAATGGCAGGACTTCTTGGAGGAGAATAACAGGAAGTGACTCACAGAGGGTGCCCTGAGGCTGCTGGCCTCACAAAGGCGTCCCCCCTCACCCCACCATGTGGTAATGCCTGGCTGCAGCCAGCCAACTGCAGAGAGGAGGGAGCCTGTGAGCCGGGAGGAGAGCCTCCCCCAGGCAAGGTCCGCTCTGTGGGGCCTGGGCACTGCTGGCACACCGCTTCTCAGTCAGAATTGCCCCAGGAGGCTGGGAGCTGGGATGTGGTGTCTCAGGGTAAACCCATCTGAATATAATGTCAAAATGACCACAAAGAACTGCCCATCCAGCGATTCTGACCTGTACCGCTTCTCTCTGGCAGTCGCCTTGATTCCATTTGACGAGTTCGGTGGAGTTCACTGCAGAGGGAGTGGAATCCTGTCAGATATCTCTCCTGATTTAGTGGGGTCTAACTCAGGCCTGAAAAGTGTATTTCTCCATCTAACTACCCTGCCTGCCTCTGCTGCACTTCTCCTCTCCCACTTTATCTTCTCCACCCTCCTGTCCCATTCCCTTCTCAATCCCTGGGCTCTGTCCTCTCCAGATTCCTTGACCTCCCTGTGATGGGTCAGGGATGAACACGCCAGCAGAGCTGCAGCACTGCTGGACAGCAAACTTCCTCCATTCCAGGCCAATACCTGGCCTCTGTAGTCATTGGCCAAAAAGAAGGATCCACTTCTGATGGTTCAGGAAACTGAAGGGACTGTTTACACAGGTATAGATGGAAATGTATACATTAGCTACTGCTGTGTAACAAAAGTCACCTCAATACTTTCTGATCCAAACAACTCACTCTTTTTCCCATTTCTGAGGGTGAGAATCTGGGAGTGGCTTGTCATTCTGGCTCAGAGTCTCTCTTGAGGCTATGGTCAAGGTGACAGTCATCCAGGTCATCTGAGACTTGCCTGCAGCTGCAGGTTGTGTTTTCAAGCTCGGACAGGGCATTGTTGACAAGCTGCCCTTCCTTATTGCCTGTTAGCTGAGATTTCCGTGTTCTGCCATTTGAGCATTTGAGGCTCTCTATAGAATGACTTATAGTCTGGGCCTTCTTCCCTCAGAATGGGGGACCCAAGAGAAAACAAGCCAGAAGGAAGAATCCAAACAATCCAAGACAGAAGTCTCAGCCTTTTGTAACGTAATCTGCACATCATACACAACAAGTTAAGTACAATATGGAGGGACCAACCACTCACAGGCATGAATACCAGTGGGGCCATGGTGGAGGCTACCAGCCCAGAAATGAAGGATGTTGAAGTGTCATCCCCAACCTTGGATGGAAGAGGCAAAGGAGAGAGGGTGCTCCCGGAGCCTAGACAGGGCTGCCGCAGCAGAAAATAAAAGACATTGCTGGAGCTGTAGCATTAGAGGGAGGCAGCCACTGCTAGAAAGGTAGCCCGAAGTGGGGAGGAAGCAAAAATAAATACCCTTCTTGACCCTTCCCCTTGACTGACCCCAGCAAGAAGGGAAGGCCTTTCAGGTGTAGGGAGACTGCTGGACTCAGCCTGTGAAGAATCTGTCGCCCTGGACCCAGATCAAAGAAAAGGATGGCAGAGAGTGAGATGCGCACATGGGTTAACAGATTCTAACCAGCACCCCTGAATGTTATCTGGCCACCCAAGCTGCCTAGCTCCTCTCCTGATACCTACACTTCAACATGTCCTGGGATCCAACAGCTAGAATGAACTAATCCACTTCCTCACCGCCTGCTTTTCGACCACTCAAGGACTGTGTCCAGCACTCAGTGGCATCCGTTCTGTTTGACCAGTTCTCAAGCCTTACCAGAGGTTAATATTTTAAATATCAACTCTGGCCAAAACAGACAGAAAAAAAAAAATTCTGAGCCAAGACAGAGAGTGACGGCCAAAGAGAGATGGATGGGCAAGTTCAGTCTAGACAAGAGAGAACCTATGATTTGCACACTGTTCCACATTACTGAATCAGGCTCAACCTGGGGCAGAAATGGGCTCTTGTGTCCCATGAGGAGGGACTCCCGGGCCCAGAAGAGCTGCCCTTGGGACTTGGGATGAATCTTTCAGGATCACTAGCATTCTATCTGCTATTTGGTGCTCTTTGTGTGGTCCTGGGGGTATGATACAGAAAGACCATGTTCTGGAACAGAACTTGTATCTAAGATGTTCTCTGCCTGCTGCTAGGCTAGGCCAAGTTTAAGAGATGGTTGGTGCCTTATCAGTCCACTTGGAATGATGCTAGGCAGAGAAGCTTCCCAAGACTAAGTCTAGAGCTGCTTGGGAATAGAACAAGAAAGGGAGGGTACTTCCGAGGAAGGAGTTGGTGTGAGGAGGACGCAGGGACAGAAAACCCTAGGATTATGCAGAGCACAGCCCAGGGCTTGGCAGGGCCCGAATGGGAAGTAATGAGTGGGTGCTTGCGAGGTAAAACGTCCACTGAATAAGGCACCCAGGTGCCCTCATTCTCTTATTTCCAGGGCTCTGCCTGAGCCATTTAGCCTATGCCCGAGGACAGCTGTAGCACATCTGGGTGGTCTGATAAAAGATTTGTGATGGCAGGTGGAGTCAAATGCCACACAGGAAAGGTAGCCAGGTCACTACAACCTGGACTATACTTTGGTATAATTCTTTGTGTGTGGATTCTAATGTGTTTACTCTCTAAATGAACAGAAAGCTATCCAGAATATCTCCCCCTTTTCCAGCACTGCTGGTTGTTGGAATTTTTGATCATCAGCATCCTTTACATTCTTTTGGCATGGTGTGCACGTCCCTGCTCCCTAGCTGCTCCCCGGAGACAAGGGCTCAGGGGATGAGCAGCTGAGCAGGCACCTCCAAGAGTAACACGGCCAGCCCTTCTGTGTGATTCATCCCAAAATTAGGCCCCGAGAAGTGATGGCTGTGTAAAGTATGTGCAGCAAATTGACGGGAAAGTGGAGATGAGCCCCCACCCACTCCATTGTAAGGAAGGACAGGGAGATTCCCTCAGTACAGTGACTGGGGCGAGAGTCACTGCAAGCCCCAGTGACTCCACGCAAAAGCCACTGTTGGACTCATCAGAGCATTCTCAAATGTAATTGACTTCTAGGCATTAAACTTTTACCAGAATGAGCTCACACAGTCCACAGGGAGAGACAAAGAGCCTAGCTTTTCCTGCCTCCTGGGGCAGCGTCTGGGGTGCAGAAAGCTCATCCTCTAACTCCAGGATGGAGCCTTCTCCTGGGAGGGAGAAGGGGGTGAGGTCCCAGGAGAGGGCGCAGGGCAAGAGGCAGAATCACTGTGGCCAAGTGTTCCTCACCAGCTCTTGGTGGTAGAGAAGGGGCTGAGACCACCACCCATTTTTTTTTTATACCGGAGATCGAACTCAAAACCTTGTGCTTGCAAGGCAGGCTCGGTGCCACTGAGCTAAATGCCTGGGCCCACCACCTGTTTATAAGCAGCCAGTTCTGCAATGAGCCATCATTGCAGGGTAAGGGGCAGTGACAGCTCAGTCTCTCTCTACACGCTCCTCCCCCGACCATCCTCACTCTGCAGCAATGAGCAGCTTGTCTATCACACTACCCACCAATCCTGGGCACCAGTGTTTTGTCTGTGTGATGAGGAGTTGGAGCGGAGGATGCCAAGTCCTCTGAGCTGTGTCAGTCCCTTGGAGGGAGTTACCATAATTCTCATAGCAAGGCTTCTTTCCCAGTACTGGGGCAGCCACTCTCACCCTCACCTTTTTTTTCCCTCCTGCTGCATCTCACAGATGGGGGAGGCTCAGCAATCATCCCTGGAGCAGCCACAGCTCTCCCTTCAGACTTCTGTGCTCCGCTGAGGGATCCACGGGCTCAGAGAGGCTCTCAGGCAGACCCCAAAACCTTGAAGGCTGGACTTTCCTCATGGACTTGTTGAAGCTGAAACGCCTGAGACCTGCACACCTCACACATTCTAATATATATTATTCATTTGTAAAACCATTGTCACAATTAAAATCGTGAGCATATTCATTGTTCCCGAAAGTCTTCTTAAAGAGACATTTTCTTTCTCTCCAGCCCAGCCCCATCCCCAGGTTACCACCAGTTTACTTTTGTCATTCTCATTTACATGTCCTAGAATTACATATCAATGGGATCATCCCTTGGACTCTTGTTTTTCTTCCCTTTGCTCTCACTGAACACAATTCTTTTGAGGCTCATTCTCAGCATTTTCTGTGTCCGTGGTTCATTCCTCTGTGTGTGCTGGGTGGATAGCGTCGAATGACTGTACACAACTTTAGGATCCATTCACCTGTGGATGAATGATTGTTTTGAGTTATTTTCAGGTTTGGGATATTAAAAATAAAGCTTTTTTTTTTTTTTGGTCCAAGATCGCACTC